AGGTCAGAGAATAACCACGTGAGAGCACGGTCAGGAAATTCAGAATGCAAAGAACATCCAGGAAAAGTTGGTTCTTACTGAAAACAATGAGAACAACAAAACCTTCAGATAGGATGAGGATAGAGGAAAGGCCATTAGATTGGGCAATTAAGAGGTCACTGGGCAGTTTAAAGAAAGTAGTTTCAGTTGAATAATGAGGTTGGAAGCCAAGTTTTGTCAAAACACAGAGAGCATTCTTTCATGGGATTTGTTCTGGATTCAGTCAAAGTCTGGATTCAGTCAAAGGGCCACACTTGAGGACCTAGAGGGCTACATGTGGCCTTGAGGCCACAGGCTCCCCACCCCTGCATGGTGGTATGAGGAGAGATACAGGATAAAAGCTATAGGGGAAGACATCAAATGAGAGTTCTTTAATGATGGAGGAGATCTGGGCATGTTTGGAGGGAGTGGGGAGGGATCTAGTAGTAGGTTTATAAAGCTGAGATGAGGTAAGGAAGATGAGGTTAGATAATGCTAATCATTGAAGAATGGTCTGGGCAGAGTATCAGGAGAAGGCAGGACCTCCACTGATGAAGACACGTGATTAGAAGGGTCCAGGTTTCCAAAGTTACATGTGGTTGCATGTGTGCCCAGGAATAAGAAGACATACTTCCCCTCCCATTTATGTGGTGGACAGATTACAAACAGTGCAGTTTTACCCCAACATGCACAGGACATAAAATCAGAAGGCCTTAGTTCAAAAGTCATCCCTGCCACTAGCCCTATACGTCAGGGTGATGATTTTCCTAATTCACATGGTTGTAGTGACAGAAGCCTTTTGTAACGTTACAGCCAAATCAGAAAGTACTTTCCCACTCTTCAGATGTAGAAAGGAAGCCCCAGGGAAGAGGAATACCATGTTGCAAGTTCTCACAGTTGTCACAGTTGCTATGTTGTAAAACTGCAGCAGGAAACAATGTCTCCTAACTCAAAGTATTTTTCCAACATACAGTGTTATCAAAGGATAGAGTGGAGGGAGAAAATAGAAGAGGACCGAGGGCTGAGCTTGGAGGGACATCTACACTTAGGGATGGGGGAGAGGAGAAAAGGGAAGGAAAGAAGCATTTATTAAGCACCAACTATATACCAAGCCCTGTGCTGAGTACTTTACTGATATTAACCTATTTGATCCTTGTAACAACCCTGGGAAGAAGGTCCTATTATGATCTGCATTTTATAGTTGAGGAAACTGATAGAGAAGTCAAGTGACTTGCCCAGGGTCACACAGCCAGTAAATGGCTTCAATCAGATTTGAACCAAGTCTTCCTAAGTCCAAGCCAAGTCACTCTATCCACTGAACCACCTAGAGGAAGAAAGATGAACCAGCAAAGAAGAATGGAAATAAGTAGAGAGTATAAAGAGATCATGCTAGAAAGGGATTCCAGATAAAAACAAGACTTGATTAGGTTGAAAGCTTGTTTTTCAGAAAACAGAGATCCAACTAGACTTCTGAAATGAGCACGTGGAGAGGCCAGAGGGCTGGAAGTGTGGAGGATAGGCAATGAGGAGGCTCAGTTTGGATGTCTGCATCCTCAGTGTAGTAGTAGTGGTTTCTGATGTAGGCAGGGCTGGGGAGGTAAGGAAGAAAATCAGAGCTAAATGAGATGGGGATGTCAGGAAGTATGGAAGGAAGTTTTCCATGCACTAGTGAGGGTCCAGGACCATAAATATATAGGACATGTAATCATCATCATTCTGGGACTTTATCCAGAGACCCTGAGTGGCTTTGTAAGAGGATAGCAGGAATCAGATGGTGATGGGTAAAGAATTAGTGATGTTGATGAACCATTCCAATAGACATCATGGTCAAGGCTGGCATAAAAGTATGAGAAGTCAGTCTGAAGTGAAGTGGAGTGTGATACAGCCCCCATCAATGGGAAAGGAAACAATCATGAGACCACAAAAATGTCAAGGATCAACAAGGGAGTAGAGAGGTAGAAGGATGGGGGATATAGTCAGAGAGAGGGGGTAGGAATTCAGGATCTGTTCACATCATTTCTTGTGTTGATTTCTGGGTACCTCCATTTGGGAAGCTCAGGGATAAACTGAAGCAAATGTAGAGCACCACCAAGAAAATCAAATGCCTTGACCATGCCTTGTGAGTGCTGGCTGAAGGAAGAGAGGACGACTAGTCTGGAGGAGAGAACGGCCAGGTGGCATATAGCAGCTATTTTCAAGTACATCAAGAACTGAGCTATGGAAGCAAGGCTCTCCTAGTTCTGTTTGGGTTCAGAGGACAGAACCAGGCCGTAAATGGAAGCTGTAAAGAAGTAAACTCAGACTTTGTCAAGAGAATAAAAAATAAAATTCCTTAGAGCTGTCCAGAAAAGGACCATGGGAGGCAATGGGACTCCTTCATTGGAGCTCTTCAAGCACGAGCAGGGAAATCATTGGTCCTGTATGTTGTAATGGGTTTTCTTTTGGAGAATGGGTTGAGGTATTTGCTAATAGTTCAATGTCTCCGTGAATAGAAGTCACTAGTGGAGTAATCTGGGCACCTTTACTTGGACCTATGTTAATTAACATTTTATCCATTACATTTGTAAAGCATGTATAAGATCATTATCCAAACTTCTACTCCCACTGACAGGTTGAGTTTCCAGAGCCTTGCTGACTATATCTTCTTTACTGTTCTAGGGGACCCTAAGAGGATGATCATGTCATTTATCATATTACTACTCTAGGGGTCCAATTATAGTGTATTCCCACAAATATCAACCATTTATCTCTTCAGTGTGATTTACCCAATGAGTGAGGCCTCATTATGACCCCTTGATATTCATCAGAAACTGACATAAATTCGTGTTTATAAAAGAATATTTACTGAAAAGAGCAAGAACTAAAGCACCAAACATCCCCCCCCCCCCCAAATATAGGACATGCTTCCTCTTCTAAATCTTGGTCCCTGGGAAGAGTAAGATTCAACTTAGAATAGTGACTGGCAAATATTTACCTGATAAAATCTTGTTCTGGGCATGGCAGTTGAGGGACATGTCCCACTCTTGTGTGCAGGGTACTGTACACCAGCTATGCATATTATTCACTGTTGAACTGGGTCAAGAGGGTGTCTCCTTGTAACTACTTTTTCACTGGACTCAGCAGCTGGCAATCTCTGCTATGGACTCCAATTCCCCCATACCTTTTGTGGGTCCTCCATATCTTTCAATGGTCACAAGGTCATAGTGTAGTCTGTTCTGTCTCCTATATTTAATCTCCTAAAAGGAGGAAAGAATGAAAACACAACAGAGATGGAAAAACAGGAGCATAATGCTATGGGTTATGGGGGCTAAGTGGAGAAATAAGACTCCCCAAAGCAATACCTGCTACATCCCTTCCCACTGAGAAGTTTACATTACTTCTTCCTCATTAACAATGAGGAGAGATAAAATGTATTCTCCTATTAGAATTGAAAAGGCTACAAGCCAAGACAAAAGTGGAGGGAGGGCTGGTGCATGATTTGTGGTTCACAGATAACTGCATTCTGAGACTCTGAGGCTGAGATGCAGCAGAGCACAGCTCAATTCTCTGCCACTTGTGCTAATTTCTGGCTTAACAATTAACATCATCCCCACATAGACCCATGGAGAAATTGTGAACGCTGTGGATAAGTTTACTTACCTTGACAGTATATTTTCCAGGGCTGTACACATAGACGACGAGGTTGACACATGTATTGCCAGAGCTATCTCAGCATTTGGAGACAGGATGTTGTGAGGTATCAAATGGGTAATTTTGATTACGTTAAATTAAAAAGGGTTTGTATAAATAAAGCTAATGTAACCAAGATTAGAAGGAAAGCAGAAAATTGGGGGAAGGGGATTTTATGGACAGTTTCTCAGATAAAGGTCTTACATATCAAATATATAGAGAACTTTGTCTAATTCATAAGAATAGGAGTCATTCCCCAATTAATAAATGGTCAAAGGATATGAACAAGCAGTTTTTCAATGAAGAAAATTATATATAGTCCTATGAAAAATGCTCTAAATCATTACTGATTAGAGAAATGCAACTTTAAAAACTTTGAGATATCTCATATTTATCAGATTAGTTAGAATGATAGAAGGGGAAAATAAATGTTGGAAGGGATGTGGAAAAACTGGAACACTAATACACTGTTGGTGGAACTGTGAACTGATCCAACCATTTTGGAAAGAAATCTGGAATTATGCCCAGAAAGTTATAAAACTGTGTATACCTTTTGACCGAGCAATACTGCTATTAGGTCTGTTTCACGAGGTGGTCAGAGAAAAAGGAAAAGAACCTATATGTCCCAAAATATTCATAGCCGTGCCTTTGTGATGACAAAGAACTGGAAATTGACAAGTGCCTATCAATTGGGTAATGAATGGCTGAACAAGTTGTGGTAAATGATTGTGATGGAATATTGCCATGCTATATGAAATGATGAGCTGGTTGATTTTAGAAAGAATTGTATGAAATAATGAAGAGCGAAATGAACAGAACCAAGAGAACATTGTATACACCAACAGTAATATCATTCAAAGAACTGCAAATGACTAAGTTATTTTGAGCATTTTAAATATTCAAATCAAGCACAAAGAAACCATAAAAGAAGATATTATCCATATACAGGTAAACAACTGAAAAACAGATGCACATATATGTATATGTATATGTACATGTATATACATATATATACATACACACACACATATCTGAGCCTAATGGTGGCTTTCTTTAGTATGGGGTGGGGAGAGAGAGAGAAAAAAATGAACAACAAAACAAAATCAGAAAGAAGCACAGAAAAGCAGGGTAGCAATGTAGTATTTATTAGTTTTTCAAAAAAAAGTAAACAGTATGAAATGGAGATTCAGTTTCATATTGAATCTTCTCTGTGTTGTGTTGTGTCAATGGAAAACTTTTTTTCTTTTTGTATTTAAGTTCAAAATGAATTGAAAAAAAGGATAAAAAAAGATTTTTTAAGAAGTTTGGTTCAAGGTTAGAAACATAACCATATAAAAATTGACAAAACCATAGTATAATTTTTATGTATTTGCTTTTATGATATGCTACTTTGTTCTTTGTGTTACAGCCTAATTTGTGATACTTACATTTAGAGTTCAACGGTCTTAATTGCCCAAATTATTTACATTCTTTATTTTAAAATAAAATTATTTCGTACACATACACACACATACACAAGAGGCAGTAGAAAAGAGACATATGAATGTACTTTTGATGAGAACACATATTTAGAGTTCGAAGGAACCATAGAAGCCATTGAGTCCAACTTTCTCATTTTAGAGATGAGTAAACTGAGGCACAGAGAGGTTGTTCCTTGCTGAAAGTTATAAGGGAGCATCCAAGTCAGGATTTGAACCCAAGTTTTCTCTGATTCTAAAGCAGTGCTCTATGTATTACAATTACTGCTTTCCTTTAGTCTGTTCTGAAAGTCAATCTGAATGAAAAGAGAAGCAACTAAACTATCAGTATGTTTTAAACTACTGACCTTACTACGAGACTTATGTTCCAAGGAATAACCACTGGAAAAGCACATATTTCCGTAGTGATTTGTCTTGAAAAGCGTTTTACAAATAGTGTCTCATTTGTTGCTTACATTTTACTCTTATTATCCCCATTCTACAGATGGGGAAGCCCAGACAGGAGCAGGTTAAGTGACTTGCTTAGGGTCATACAACTAGTATGTGCCAGAGACAGAAATGGAATTCAGCCCTCGTGGCTCCAGGCATAACACTTCATCCAGAGGGCCACACTGTTGCTTAAAGAAAGCATGAGAGACATAAGTGTCCAACAGTAACCAAAATATTCATATGAGTGCTTTTTTGTGCCATTAAACAACAGGAAACAAAGTGAGTATCAGTCAACTGAGGAATGCTATTATAGTACATTAATGCCATGAAATATTGAGGAATGATGACAAAAACTAGGATTTTAGAGAAAAAAATCATTGCATTTATATGGTTTTACAGATAGTGTAAGTTTGGAATTTTTAAGGAGGCCTTTTTTGTTGGGAGGTCCAGTGAAGTCTGTGCTACAGCAGGAGGCCTTCCTTTCTTAATTAGATATATGTCTTATCTCCACCATGATTTCTCCAATGTACAGACAACTATGAGATCCAGGTGAAGCCCTTCCCACAACCATTGCTTTTATAATCCTTCATCACAGCATGAATATTGTTGTCTACCTACTGTCCTCCTCTAGAGAAAAGCACATTCCCCTTTGGCGTATTTGTAAGGCTTCTCTCCACTAGGAATTCTCTGCTAAAAAGTAAGAGACAGTCTCTGGTTGAAAGTGTTCCCACACTGAGTCAATATGGAGCTGTTCATCAGAATGAATTTTGTAATGGTGAACAAAGTCTGAACTCCACTTGAATGCCTTTCCTCACTCATGACAGTGATAAGATTTGTGTAATATGAATTCTCAGATGAATTCTCAGATAAGAGATGATTGTTACCTGAAGGCTTCACCACACTGATTATATTCCTAAGGTTTCTCTGCAGTGTGGATTCTCTGATGTTCAGCAAGCCTGGAATTGTGTGAAAGCCTTTCCACATTGTTTATATTCAAAAGGCTTCTACCCAATGTGGATTCTCTGATGTCTAGCAAGATTGCCCTTCACTGTGAAAGCCTTTCCACAATGATTACATTTATAAGGTTTCTCTCCACTGTGGATTTTCTCATGATCAGCTAGACCGTAGCTCTTTATGAAACCCTTTCCACATTGTTTACATTCATAAGGTTTCTCTCCAGTGTGGACTCTCTGGTGGGCAGCAAGACTGGAGCTCTGTGTGAAAGCCTTTCCACATTGTTTACACTCAAAAGGTTTCTCTCCAGTGTGGATTCTCTGATGTCGAGCAAGATTGCCCTTCACTGTGAAAGCCTTTCCACAATGATTACATTTATAAGGTTTTGCTCCACTGTGGATTTTCTCATGATCAGCAAGACTGTAGTTCTTTGTGAAAGTCTTTCCACATTGTTTACATTCATAAGGTTTCTCTCCAGTGTGGATTCTCTGATGTGCAGCAAGACTGGAGCTCTGTGTGAAAGCCTTTCCACACTGATTACATTCATAAGGTTTCTCTCCAACGTGGATTCTCTGATGTACAGCAAGATGGGAGTTCTGTGTGAAAGACTTTCCACATTGATTGCATTCATAAAGTTTCTCCCCTGTGTGGATTCTCTGATGTGCAGCAAGATGGGAGTTCTGTGTGAAAGCCTTTCCACATTGATTACATTCATGAGGTTTCTCTCCAGTGTGGATTTTCTCATGATTAGTAAGACTGGAGTGAAATCTGAAAGCCTTTCCACATTGTTTACATATGTAAGGTTTCTCTCCAGTGTGGATTCTCTGATGTTTAACGAGACTGGAGCTATATGTGAAAGCTTTTACACATAGATTACATTCATAAGGTTTCTCTCCAGTGTGAATTCTCTGATGTACAGCAAGATGTGAGTTAAATTGGAAAGCCTTTCCACACTGATTACATTGATAAGGTTTCTCTCCAGTGTGGATTCTCTGGTGTTTAACAAGACTAGAGCCATATGTGAAAGCCTTTCCACATTGATTACATTCAAAAGGTTTCTCTCCAGTGTGGATTTTTCGATGTTTAACAAGACTGGAGCCATATGTGAAAGCCTTTCCACACTGATTACATTCAAAAGGTTTCTCTCCAGTGTGGATTCTCTGATGGCTAATAAGAAGTGATCTGTAGCAGAAAGCCTTCCCACATTCACTACATTTATAAAATGTCACTCCAGTATCAATCTTCTGATGTTTCATAAGATCTGTGTTCCTACCAAAGGTCTTCTCACAATGATTATGTGCGTATGGTTTCATTCCAGCATGAAGCTTAGGATGGTAAGAAAGAGATGAATGATGGGATAAGGTTGGTTCCCATTCATTATATTCACTGGGCTCCTTTCTAATGTGAATTTTCTTATGAATAATGAGCTTAGAGTTCCGACTGAAGGCTTTTCCACCTTCATTATTTACATAAAGCATCTCTCCAGTATTTTTTTGATGTCTAATGAGCTCTGAACTCCAGATAATAGCCATTTCCTGTTCATTATCTTGATCCATTTGCATTTCAGGAATCTTCTCATGAGACTGAAAAAGCTCTACCACTTCAGGAAAGCACTTGCTATATTCACTATCCTGAAAACAGGCATTTCCAGAGGTCATTTTCTTACAGTGATTTAGGGCTGAAGATTGTTTGAATCTCCTCCCAGTTTTTTCAAATTCACAGGGACCCTTTGGATTTTTATCCACTTTCATATTAGAGTTGTGGATTTCTCTCAACTTGAAGTCACCAGCACTCACGAATCTTTGCTGGCCAGATTCTTCCACAAAAATCCTCGGTTTTGTAGTCATCTCATTTACTTCAAACATGGTCTCTGCAACTGAAGAAAATAAACAATCATATATACACAAGAAGACATGCACACCTAAGTATGCGTTCTTTCTTTGGATGGCAGAAAGTAAACTCATTTATGTTCTATTTCCCCAGTTAAAAAGAAAACTTTTCAAACTTAAGCATGCAGAATCAATCTTTGGAAATGCCATTTGGTCACAACCCTAAGAGGGTTTATTAGAAAGAGCAATGACATTTGCTCCTGACAACAAATGCGGGACACAGGAAGGCCCACCATTCTCATTAACTTTCACAACTCAGGTGATGAGCTCAGAATGGCTGAGCTGCAGCTGAAATCAGAACTTGAACCATGTGACTGAGTGTGCTCTGGCCACAATACTAGAAGACTTTTCTCTACTGCACTTTCTTCAAATGCCTCTTGTTGATTATACTTACACTGACCATTGATTATACCTATACTTTTGTCACTCTCAGGTCAACTTCTGCTATTCTGTACTGCTCAGTTTCAATGCACTATCACTTGGTCATTCCTGATCAATTCCATATGCTAAGCTGAGAAACAGGTTCAGTCTTTTTAACTCCCATGCAATAATATTCAATGTTATTTCCAACTTTTCTTATACTCTATTCAGATCCAAAGACATTAAGCCACTTGCTGCACATGTACTAAATATTCGTTATCGATATTATGTCTCATACTATATCTTGAGTCCATGATCCTTCTGTCAAGAAGTGAACAGCATGATTCACTATTGGTCCTCTAAAACCATGGCCCATTTAGTGCTTCATGATGATGTTCAAGGGGCATTAGCTAAAAATTCTTTAATGGTGAACCTTATGTAGTAAAAAATTGCTCAGTTTTTTGACCAATACATTTTCCCCTTGCACACAAGCATGTGCATGTTTGAGGCATAATAGGTTGCTTTGTGGGGTGATTCCAAATCATCATGATTGGGTATAAAATGATTTTGGTGTTCATGCAGTGATTATATCAAATTCTGACCACTTCTAAGTGTAACATACTGTTCTGGTTTTTCACTCTGTCCTCAAATTGTTTCCACATCACCATAAAAGTCTGACATTTAAGTACAAATCAACTCTCAGTGGATGGTCACAGGGATGCACATAGTCTCATTTGCTTTTTGAAAAATGCATCAGAGTAGCTGCCTCCGTCCAAGGTTTCCTTGTAATCTCATTTCATCAGCAATGTAATCACATCAAAAAGCAGCAAAAGCATGTGTTCTTCCAGTGCAGATGGTATGGTTTTTGAAAAACACGATCACTAGGCATACACATTACAAACCATCTTGAAAGATGATTCCACTCATCATCGGTACATGAAATGTGCACATGTTTATAGACAATACACAATCTAGTAGACCTGAAAGACAAACAGCTTTCGTTTCAAGGGAACTCAGCAGGTGTTACATCCAAATAACCCTGAGTGAAACAAGACTGCCAAATGAAGGCCAGCCTACTGAAGTTGGAGTGGATACACATTTTCTGGAGTGGCCGCAGTGAAGGGGAGCACCAGGAAACTGGTATGGGTTTTGCAATCAAAACTAATCCAGTCAACGAACTTGTACACTTCCCAAAAGGAATGAATGCCAGGCTCATGACAATGCAATTTCCACTTGCAGGAAAACACCATGCCACCATCATCAGTGCTTATGCTCCTACCCTGATGACTCTGATGAAGATCTAGAGACCATCATCAATGTGCAGAAAGAGGATGAGCTTATAATTCTGGGTGACTTTAATGCTACAGTAGGCACAGACTACTAGAAGTGGCAGGGAGTCCTTGAGAGGAATGGATTTGGAAACCGCAACAGCAACGGTCACTTACTACTAAAGATTTGTGTGTCTCATGACCTCATCACCAACACTGTCTTTTGTTCACCTAAACATAAAACTTTGTGGATGCACCCTCATAGCAAACAATGGCACGTAATAGACTATGTCATTGTAAGGAGAAGAGACAGAGAGGATTTGAGAATGACAAAGGTAATGGGTGGTACAGAGTCCTGGACTGATTATAGACTGATCCTCTCCAAGTTAAACATTCCCCTTCAACAAAAGCAGAGACCCCAAGGCAAGAAGACAATGTCAGCAGATTAGAAAGTTTCTCTGAGCAGAACAGTTGGTTGTCAACTTGGAGGGAAAGCCGAGCCAACACACAGTAGACAACAGTGGAGAAAAGGAGTGGCAGCTTTCAGAGATTTGGTGTACAGCACTGCATTTACTCTTTTGGGTCAGAACACTCACAAACATCATGATTAGTTTGATGAAAATGATGCAGATATTCAGAAGTTGCTAAATGAAAAATGAGAACGCCACAGGGTTTACCAGCAGGATAGTTCATGTGCCTAAGAATGTAGCATTTAACTCCATTAAAAATAAAGTACAAGTGAAGCTTAGAGGAATGCCAAGATTCCTGGCTTAGTAAGAAGGTAGATGATATTCAGTTGTATGATAACAATAACAATCCAAAGGGTTTTTACGATGCACTGAAGGCTATTTATAGACCAAAGACCTGCAACTATTCAGTGCTGATGGAGCTACAGTGATCAGTGATAAGAACATGATCCTGGAGAGACGGGCTGAACGCTTCCATGATGTTCTCAACAGACTATCATCCATCAATGCTGAAGCCACTGACCATATACCGCAGGTTGAAGTCAATCCCTCTCTAGCCAACTTTCCAACGGAAGAAGAGGTTTTAGACGCCATTTTGTTCCTCTCCTGTGGCGAAGCCCCTGGTGCCAATTCTGTTCCAGCTGAGATCTACAAGGTAAGGAGCCCAACACTCATATGTAAGCTGACTGAAACCTTCCAGGTTATATGGTAAAAGGAGGTCACCCCCCCGGGAGTTCAAGGATGTCTCCATTGTCCATCTCCATAAAGGAAAAGGAAATATGTTGTCGTGTGACAATCACGTCTCTCTTTAGTCACGGCTAACAAAATTCCTCCTTAATAAGCCGATTCTTCACCTGGAAGATGGTCCTCTACCTGAGAGTCAGCATGGCTTCAGAAAAGGCCAAGGAATGGTTGATACAATGTTTGCTACCCAACGACTCCAGGAGAAATGCCAGGAGCAGAAGGCAGGTCTACACATAATGTCTGTCCATCTGACTGAGACCTGTGATACCGTCAGTCATGAGGGCATACGGAAAATTATGTCAAAACGTGGTTGCCTGGAAAAGTTCAGCAGTGTCGTACATCAATTTCATGACAGCATGCTTGCTTGGGTTCTAGATAATGGACGATGCTCTCGTGCTTTCCCAATCACCAATGGAGTGAAACAAGGCTGTCTACTTGCTCCCATGTTTTTTAGCATGATGTTTTCAGTCATGTTGTCAAATGTCTTGAATAAGGATGTACATGGCATCAAAGTCAACTATCACATTGATGGTAAATTCTTCAAGCCAAAACTAAAGCGGAGGGAGAGTTGGTGTATGCTTTTTTGTTTGTAGATAATTGTGCACTCAATGCAGCCTCTGAAGCTGAGATGCAACAAGGGATGGATTGATTCTCTGCTGTTTGTGCTAATTTTGGCTTAACAATTAACACCAAGAAAACACTGGTGCTCCACCAGTCAGCACCACACCATCCATACGTGGAACTAGTGGTTACAGCAAATGGAGAAGTTTTGAATGCTGTGGATAAGTTCACTTACCTTAGCAGTATACTTTGCAGGAGTATACACATTGATAATGAGGCTGATATACAAATTGCCAGTGTTTGGGAGGCTCCGAAGGAAAGTATGGGAAAGAAGAGGTATTAGACTGACTACCAAATTGAAGGTCTACAGAGCTGTTGTGCTGATCTCATTGTTGTATGGCTGTGAAACCTAGACAGTCTACCAGCGCCATGCCAAGAAACCGAATCTCTTCCATTTGAATTTCATTTTCTTACAAAGATTGTGAAGATCACCTGGCAGCATAAGTTACTGGACTCTGAGGTCCTTTCTCACTTTCTTTTTTTTTTTTTTTTTTAAGGCAATTGAGGTTAAGTGACTTGCCCAGGGTCACACAGCTAGTAAGTGTCAAGTGTTTGGTCTGAGGCCGAATTTGATCTCAGGTCCTCTTGACTTCAGGGCTGGTGCTCTATCCACTGTGCCACCTAGCTGCCCCTGCTTTCTTTTTTTTTAAACAAATTTTTTTTTTTGCTCATTTACATATTAGTCATGTTGTAAAAGAAGAATCAGAATAAAAGGGGGAAAATCATGAGAAAGAAAAAACAAAAAAGGAGAGAGAAAATAGTATGCTTCGATCTGCATTCAGACTCCACAATTCTTTCTCTGGATGTGGTTAGCATTGTTTATGATGAGTCTTTTGGAATTGTCTTAGATCACTGCATTGCTGAGAAGAGCTAAGTCTATCATAGTTGGTCGTTGCATAACGTTGCTGTGACTATGTACAATTTTGTCCTGGTTCTGCTCACTTGACTCAGCGTCAGTTCATGTAAGTCTTTCTAGATTTTTCAGAAATCCACTTGCTCATCATTTCTTATGGAACAATAGTATTCCATTATATTCACATGTGACGACTTGTTCAGGCATTCCCTAACTGATGGGCATGCCCTCAATTTCCAATTCTTGGCCACCACAAAAGAGCTGCTATAAATATTTTTGTCCAAGTGGGTCTCTTTGGGATACAGACCTAGCATTGATATGGCTGGATCAAAGAGTATACACAGTTTTATAGCCCTTTGGGCATAGTTCCAAATTACTCTCCAGAATGGTTGCATCAGTTCACAACTCCACTAAGAATGCATTAGTGTTCCAATTTTCCCACATCTTCTCCAACATTTATCATTTTCTTGTTTTGTCATATTAGCAATCTGACAGGTATGATATGGTACCAGGTGAATTTTATTATTATTTTTTCTAGCGCTATAAAATAATTTTTGGTAGTTTGATTGGTATGGCACTGAATAAGTCAATTAATTTAGGTAGAATTGTCATCTTTATTATATTAGCTTGGCCTACCTATGAGCAACTGACATTTTTCCAATTATTTAGATCTG